TCTCACCATCCCTCAGTCCGAGCCGCTGAAGGACAAAGCTGATTTCTCTATTTTTAATACATTAATTATATTAATCTCAGCTGTTCTTTGCTTTCTCTTCACACGGATTTTCACCTCTCCTTCATTTTTTTTCCCTCTTTTTTTTTTCCCCTGGACATATTCCAGCCCATCAAGGATGTGTTTAATATTGCTGCTCCCATATCAAAGCGTTCAACGCGCACGGATTTCAGCGAATTGTGAAGGAAAGCAGGAGATGCTTTTATCTCTCTGCCTCTGCTCGGAATCGCCCGGAGCCCAGACCTGCCTCTGCCTCGGCCACGTGACGCAGCTGCAGCCCCAGAGCCCCTCCCGAGCCGAGGGAGGAGGTTGTTGGGATGGGTGAAACACCCCCCACCCCTCTGGAGATGGGGCTTTGCCCCAGCACAGCTTTTCTGTCTGACCTTCCAAAGGGCAGGGTCAGAGCTGTGCTCCCAGGAGGGCGTGGGAAGCTCCTGGTGCTTCCACCTCCCTCCTGGCACTTGCATTCCACCCCTGGTACTTCGATTTTTCCATCTCCTCCCAGGTCCTTGCATCTCCCTCCCGGTGCTTCCATTCCATCCCTGGTACTTCCACCTCCCTGCTGGCTCTTGCATCATCTCCCTGCTGGTCCTTACATCTCACATTCCTGTTTGCACCTCTCTCAGTACTTGCATTTCCCTTCTGGGCACTTCCACCTCACCCCTGGACCTTCTGTCTCCCCATTCCCATTTGCATCTCCCCATTCCCATTTGCATCTCCCCATTCCTGTTTGCCTCTCCCTCCTGGCACCTGCATCTTGCTCCTGTTTCATGCATCACAACTCTGGTGCTCGTATCTCCCTCCTGGTACTTGCATCATCTCCCCACTGTCTTTGCATCTCCCTCCTGGCACTTGTGTCCTGCCATCGATGCTCTGTCTCACCTCTGGTACATCCATCTCATTCCTGGGGTTTGTATCTTCCTCCAGGTTCTTGCATCTCCCTCCTCATGCTCAGATCCCCCCCTCTGGTGCTTGCATCTGGTGTTTGCATCTCACTCCTGACACTCACATCTCCCTCCTGGTATTTGCACCTCAACCCTGGTACTTACATCTCCCTCCTGTTGCTTGCATGTCCCCCCTGGTCCTTTCACCTCACCCCTGGTACTTGAATCCCAATCCTGGCACTTGTATCTTGCTCCTGGAACTTGCACCTCAACCCTGGGGCTTCCATCTCCCTTCTGGTTCTTGCATCCCACCCCTGACACTTCCATCTCCCCCTGGTTGTTGGATCTCCCTCCTGGCACTTGTCTTGTGCCCCTCTCCAGGTGGGCACAGTGGGTTCACCAGGCAGAGCTGCCCCAATCCCTTGAGCTCAGACTCCACCACCCCTCAGACAACACATGGGTTTGTAGCTTCCATGTGGGCAGGGGGATGAAAGATGGGATTCATTGGGTTCTGTCCATCTTGGGCTTGGCCACTGAAGAGCTGGAAGGGGCTTAGATGGGCCAGGCCAGGTGGGGATGGGCAGGATCCATCCCAGAACTCCAGGATGGAGGAAGAGGACAGCAGGGAAGAGGTGCAAAGTCCCCCCAGTTCAAGGAATGGCTTTTAGGTGAACATCCATAACATGATCCCCCCAAACCCAAGGGTTTGCTTCACTAAAATGAAAACTCCCTGCCTGACACAATGTGGATGAACCCCATGGATGGAGAATGAGGATGCCAAGGATTTCTGCTCCCTCAGTGCTCTGAATCCCAACGAGGGGGTGGCTCAAGTCATCCCAAAACCCCCTTTGCAGGTGTCCCACCACCTTCACCACAGCTCTGGCCTCGCTCTGTATTTCCATGGTGGAAATACAACACACACATTAAAAATAATAACATTTATTGCTGCAGCCACGGAGAGAAAGAGCATTTTTGAGCTCTGTAGGAGCCAGATTTGGGTAGCACATACATATGTCTCCATAAGGGTTTTTTCAAGACTGCTGCAGAGGAACAAGTTGAGAAATTAGGGACAAAAACAATGAGGAGAAAAAGAAACTCCTCCAACCCCTCTGTCACCAAAGATGAGGTGAAATGTGAGATCTTGTGGGCAAAATACACAGAGGGTGGAGAGAAAGAGCTGTGTGGACAATATTTATAAGCAGAAAGGAAATCAGCAGCATGGAGCTGTTCCTGGGAAATGTTTGTCAATGTTAATGTGGCATTCAGATAAAGACATGAGCAGCCCACCAAGAAGTGATGCTCCATGGTCAGAAACTCCTGGTGCAGGATGCAGGTGCTGGGATTTGGGGTCGGACACATGTCAGGGAATCGTTCTCAGCCCTGAGTTAGGAACAGAGCCTGATTTTCTCTGCTAATCACAGACAACCCCCTTCCTACTGTGTTTTCTGCCAGTTTGTCCATCACCACAATCAAAGGGTGTCCAGGTGATGAGAAAACATCCCGGGTTTGATCCCTGGGTGTTGATCCCAGGGGTAACAACCTGCTCCACCACAGTCACCCACTCCTCCTGTCCCCCCTCAGCAGCCCTTTGTCCCCAAATGCCCTTTAATGAAGGGTCAGTTGAGACTTTCCCTGCTTGGAAGAGATCCCAAGCCCAGGTTTCTATCAGCAGCAGAAGGAACAGGCAGGGATTTTTGCAGTGAGGAGCAGTGAGTGGCTGAAAGTGCTGCTCCATTAATGGCCATTAAACTGAAAATAACCCTCCCCTTCAGCTGCCTGTCCTTTAGGATAAATAAAATATCAGGTTCTGCCCTGCAGATGGAGCTGGGAGGGGCAGAGTCACCCCCGGGGTCAGCCCCCACCCTCCCCTTCCCTGCTCAGCTGCTTCCCAGGTCCTGCCTAATCCAGTGGTTATCAGTTAATAAGGAGCAGGGCTGTGCCTTCCCCTGCTTGGAATGTGCCCAACACATCGGGAATAAATGAGCCTGGAAGGAGGGTTTTTGTGGGATGTGGGTGTGTCAGCTCCTGGTCCTGCTTTTGGGGACATGTCCAGGCCACCTTCTCTCCTTGGGCACCTCCAAGAGCTGTGTCATGGAAGCTGTGGCTGCTCCATCCCTGGCAGTGTCCAAGGCCAGGCTGGATGGGGTTTGGAGCACCCTGGGCTGGTGGAAGGTGTCCCTGCCCATGGGAGCTTTAAGGTCCCTTATGACCCAAACCATCCTGGCATTCCCTGATTCCATAACTCTGTGGTCCAAGCCACTGCACAGCTGCTGTGGAGGTGGCCAGAGCCCTTGGGAAATTGGGGTTCTCCCTCTCCATGGCCAAGGAATTATTGGACCCATTGAGGGCAGCCTTGTACTGGAACAGGACAAAGTCCTAGGGGTGACTTTGTGCTCCAGGGAAGGTGAGGAAGGACCCCTGGTCCCATCAGGGGAGGGATGGGATGGCTCAGTTTGCCCCCTGAGGAGCTGCCTGGAGGAAAATCTCTGGCCATCCCAGTGCCCCTTGTGGGACACACCTTTGCATTCAGGGCCTGCAGACCTGGGGACCAACTCTATCCTCATTTCCAAAGACGTGTATCAGTCTCAAAAATGCATTTAATGAGGGAAGGAACAGAGCAGATGCTCCAGTGGCTGCCTGGAGAGGGTGAGGGTGTGCTTTATTTTCTTCCTGACGTGTCTGTTTGGACATGACCCACCTCCTCGTGCCCAGGAATGCTCCCCGTCCTGCAAGGTCCAGCTTTGCAGGGAAGGAATGGCACTGAGAGCCCAGCCTTTAGCAGCCACTGGAGACCCCACAGAAGGAGGTGCAACCTCAGGGCAGCTCCCAGAGGGGCTCAAACCTCCTTAAACAACCACCAACCCCCAAATCTGGGCACTCTGGGTGTCAACATCGCTGAGTGACGATGGGCTGGTTGCTCCCAAAGGCATTTTGGTGGCACTTGTGGAGGTGGAAACACTCCCATCCAGGAGCTCCACGGGCTCATCAGGCACCAGGCAGGAACCTCCTGCCTTTAAAGCAGCTGGAAAATTGAGGGAGCTGGAGAGGGAGACACGTCTGCAGATGAACATCTCGGGCCCCTTCTCCCTGCCAAGCTGCTCGTGAGACAGATGGCTCCAGGTTAAATGTGAATTGCAAACCTAAAAAATAAAAATGGTGTTTGTGCCCTTCCCTGCACCTTTATGATGTATAAAGATACAGCAAGTGGTTTTATTTCTTTCAGAGGAGACGTGTTTGGGTTTTTTGATTGTTTTATTTGGTCTGAGGATTTTTTAATGTTGTTTTTTTCCCCTTGCATTAGGGAAAACAAGGCTGGCTTTTGCCTGCTGGGAACTGGGGGAGCTCAGCTGCTTTTTGGGGGGTATTTCAGCTCTGGGAAGGGGGCAAAGCCTAGGAAAAAACTAAAGATGTGATGCAATAAATTGCATGAAACTGGAAATAATATAAGCTCTTCCTTGAGAAGGCCAAGAGAGAGGTGGGAGGACCCAGCAAGCTCCAACTGGGACTGGAGAGGAAAGCCTTTGGCATCTCCCAGAGAATCCCCAAAGTCACTTTGTGCCAGGCAGTGGGGTCGTAAGGGCCTTCTCCTCCTTCAGCTGGGCACCTCAGGTGGCCTGTCACAATAATTACCTCTGCAGCCAGGGAGCTTGTTCCTGCCTCCAATTTATTCTCCCGGAGTGGAATTAGCCGGGAAGTCATTTGTGAAGGGCTCGGTTTTAATTCAGGTTGGCTTGAAATAATCCAGCAGAGAGGTCAAACCAGCCCTTCAGCCCCACTTTCCCCTCCTTCAGGGCAGATTTATTCCCAATGACAGCCCCACTTGTCCCAATAACAGCCCTGTCCCCAGCTCTGAACAAAGGTGGGACAATTAAATGGAGAAATAAGGTCGTGGTGGTTCCATAATCTCTCATTAAGGAAACGATGGCCTTTCAGACAGAGACAGAAGAGACTGGGTGTCTTTTAGGAAAATAAATCTCCCACTGCTTATTTTTTCCCCCACGTAGAGAGAAAAAGATATTATTCATCTTGAGCCAAGGAGCAGCTGAAGGACTTGCAGCTGAGGCAGTGGCTGCAGCAGCAGGAATTGTGCCTGGAGCTGGGAATGCTGGGGGAGAAAACCAGCAAAACCCACCGTGGCCTCCCCCAAAATGGCAATTTCCTCTTGCAGGAGCATTTCAGGTTGGTTTTGTCAATTAATTAAACTTCTGGTTCACCTTTTAAAGGAAAGGAAAAGGAGGGGGGGGAAAAAAAAAGCTTCTTTGGAGCTTTGGAAAATAGCGCAGCAAAATGTTTTGGCACTTCTGAAACAAAGCCTTTCACTTCAGAGGCACCAGGATGAAGCAGCTCAGCGTTTTTCAAAGGTTTTCTGCTCTTTAATTCTTTTTAACCTGAAATTATTCATCTCATTAGCATAATCCTGAGTTCTCACTGCTCTGGTCCTCCTCAAACATCATTTCCAGCAGATGCACAAACTGATCAAAAAAAAAAACAACCCTTCAGAGTGTAGTGACTTAAGGCCATGGTTTAGCCTGGATTCACACCTTGTTCCTGATTCCCTTACCCAGATTCACACTTATTCCTAATTCTCTGGTCAGTAGGTGCATCTCTGCCCCGGTGGTGAGTGAGGCACTCCCAGGACAAACCCACCTTGGGTTCCTCAGATGTCCAAGAGAACTTGTCCAAGGAGCAGCTTCCAGCCCTGGGAAGGACAAGATGAGGTGGGAAAACACCTCCTTCACCATCTGTAAATAGAAATATGGGGCTGTGGGGCTTGGTTTGTTGAGGTGAATCACGAGGAAATGCTGCTGGCACTATTTAAACATGAGGAAAATGCAAGGTCACTTCTGTCATGGATATAAATTCATACAGATATGGTCCATCTTGGATTGGGCAAATCCTCAGCCCTTTATGTGATTCCCATTAATTGTAGATCCCCCAGACATCTTCCTGGCCCCAATGAATATAATGTGCACTCCTTCAAACAACATCTTCATATCCCTTTGCATTTGGATGTTTTGTGGGAAGAGGAGCCTGGATCAAAAAACTCGTGGGTCTCCATAAATCTTCATTTTTAGGTGGAAATGTGGTTTTGTGAATGCACACCCCCAAAACCAGAGGTTCAACAAGGTGTTGCAGGTAGAGAGGGTGTGAGGGACGTTTCTTTTCCTCTTCAGTTGGTCAAAGGCACTTTGTTGTCAGTCTAATTCCCTGGATTTCATCAGAAATCGCCTCCAGGAGTGGTGGGGACACCAACCCTGGAGGGAGTTAGAAGATGTGTAGATGTGGCACTTGAAGGAGTGGGTTAGGGCTGGATTAAATGTTGGACTCAATGACCTTGGAGATCTTTTCCAACCTCAACAATCCCATGATCCCATGAAGAAGCCCTCTGTCACAGCTGAATGAGACTGAAGGGTTTTGTTAAGGAGGGCGAGTTATGAAGAAGATCAAACTCCTCCCTCTCAGCAACTGTAAATCTGAAATTAAGAGGCTCCAACTGAGGAATTATGGAGAAAGAAAGTAACAGGGCTTTACTAAAGGATATCTGTGTATTGGCAGAGCAACAGAAGAACACAAAAACAACCAAAGAATAATCCTGTACCCAAAAATCCCCTTCAAAAAGGAAACAGTTCCCTGCTTGGTTTTTTAGAACAAGCAAACCCATGACACCCTCCCAGTGCGGGCAGAGCCTTGCAGTGCCAAAGGACTGGTGCAACCTGGATGTCACTGGTGTGGCAGTGGGGCACTGGGAGGTGGCACAGGGCACTGCTCATCCCTGCCTGGAGGAGGGGAGTTGGCAGGGGGACATACGGGTCACCAGGGGGGCCTTTTGGGCCGTGGCTGCTTCTTTCTTGGCTGTTGTGGTGTTAAACAGCACAGTGGGTCACCCTGTGCTTCTCACAGGGCTCACCTGGGTCTCCTGGGATCCCCCTGCCCTGGGACCTGGCTCCTGAGGTGTTGGGGGAGAAGGGATGTGACAATTTGGGGTGCTGAAGGCACCCCAGCAGCTGAAGGGCTGGATTCTCATTTCCACTCCAGGCTGCACATGCAGCTCCCTGAGCCCTTTTATCTTCGGAGCAGCTCAAGTGCAAATGAGAATCAGGCCCTGCAGTGCCACTTCTTCTCTTCCAAAGAGGAAAACATCTCCTTGGCTCCAGGGAGTGAAGTGGGTCAGGGTGGTTTGGGGTTCACTCAAAGCCCCACGATGGTGGGTGCCGGCTGCCCTTCACTGCAGAGAGGGAATGGACCTTGAAAAGCTTGAGCTCCTTTTCCAGGCAAGGACAGTTTGCAAACCAAGGTATGGAGAGAAGATGCTCCCCCCACCAGGCTGGGATTAGAGCAGAGGTGTTTTCCCAGTTTCCCTTGGAGCAGAGCAGCAGGCAATGGGGAAGGTCAAGGAGCTCTCCTGGAGTTCCCTCCCGGAGCAGTGACATGGCAAAGGCACGGCCGGGTTTCGCTGCAATGAGCTCCCTGAATTTCGTGCTCCACTGCTCCGAGAGAGGACACGGTGTTTGCAGAGAGGGGACATAAATCTGGGGGCATGGCTGGGTTCTCCTGCTGGCAGGGATGAAAAGGTGCCCTGGAGGCACAGTGGAAAAGGAGATGGACCCACCCAGAGAGGAAGCACCTGGGGTATTAATTAATTAATTATACCCACCCATAGAGGAAATACCTGGGGTGTTAATTAGTGCAGAAAAAGGGGGAGGAAGGTGATTTGGCTGGAATACACCCAGGGATGTTCATCTTCTAGGGAGTGGGTAATGAGGCTGGGCCAAGGGAACATCTGGGGCTGGAATGTGTTCAGATGAGGACGTGTCAATGCCTGGGAATGAGGACTTTGGAGATGGGGCTGTCAAGGTTGTCCAGGATCTTCAGAAACTCTCGGTAAGGTCACTCTGACCCTACTGATGGGAATGAGGCACCTCCTTCCACCAAGGGTGCCTTTCCCCTTCCAGGGATGTCCCTGCCCCACCTCCCAGCCCTGTCACAACCCCTTGGTGCCTCCAGCCCCCTGACCTGGAGCTGGGGACACCGAGGCAGCCTGTGCCCACCATCCCTGCCCCGAGCTCCCCCCGCTGTGGGAGTGATGGGATGAGATGCTCCTGCTGATTCATTGCCTCTCCTGGTGACATCAAACAACCCTCTCAGGAGCTTCCCTCAGCACTTAATCAGAGAAGAGCTTGTCTGTGGCATCTTAAGGACTTCTCAGGTGAGGCAGATCCTTCCCAGAATAAAAAAGGCAGCTGAGGTGCAGGTGGAGAAAGGACAAGACTCTTTTTGACACCACAGCTCTCAAGCTCTGATTGCAGCCTGTTCCCACGGTGGAGACAGGGAGAGGCAACGCCTGTGCTTTGATACACAACTTATTTAGTGTCTCCTCAACTTATTTAGTGTCTCCTCAGCCTTCTCATTTCCCTGAAGCCTGAGCAGCCTCCACCTCCTGCAAGGTGAGCTGGGCTCCTCCTCCTGCAGGGACCATGGAGGGATAAGTGACTTGGCACTTGCAACAGATCCAGCTGTGATTTCCCAACAGAAATCACCCTAACAACCAACTTACATCATCACAGAAGAGATCCAACTCCTTATCCCTCTGTAACACCGAGGAGAAGATGCAGGAGGAACCTGCATTTCAGATTCCTCCCCTTTGAGTCTCCTCTGTGGCTCTCCCTGGTGTGACAGCACTTCCAGAGCCTGGTGGAAGCGACACCCGTGTGCTGGGTGCTGCCACATGCAGCCCTTCAGTTCTGCTCATTGCTGTTGTTATGGGATAAATCACTCCTTAAGCTTCTCTCTTTCATTGCAAATTGTCCATGAAACACTTGCAATCTCTGCAGAGAGACGCTGGGCCTGACAGCCTAAATCAGATCAGTAATCAAATCCCGAGCCCATCGCTGCTACCTGGGATGAGTTATTGGTACCACAAGGTGTTGGGGGAGAAAAGAAAAGGCAAGAATCTCCACAGGAGAAAAAAAAAATATGTAGGAAAGTTTTCTTCTACTAGAAAAATCTGGAGCTTTCTCATAGATGTTATTTAACTCTTTATTTCTGGATAGTTCAGCAACCAGACCTTGTGTCAAGGAGTTCCAGTGGTGACCAACACAAAACAGACACAGAGCACATGGAGCAGGGCCAGCAAGGGTGGAGCAGGATGGCAGCTCCTTGGGTTGCTCCTAATCCTGGACAAAAACTATTTGGAGTCATAACTGTGTTAAAAACCCCATGTTTTAATGACTTGCAAAAGTTGGCCTGTGCGAATTCCTGCACCTCTCCAGTGTGGTGGTCGGGGCAACCACGAGAGAAAAAACCTGTCCTCAACCCACCCATTTCCATTTAGTTTTGTTTCCCTTGAGATTCAGGCCCTCTTGGCCCGTATCTCATAATAAAAGCCTCAGTTTTGCCCTGCCTGTGCCCCCCCTGCCCAGCACAGCTGAAGGACCCCAGGGATCAGAGCAGACTCGGCTGTAATTGGGATTCTCATGAAGACAGACAAAGCTGGGGGCTCAAAACTGCCCTTGCACCTTCTTCTAGGATTTTTTTTTTTGCCTCAAAATCTACCCATTTGGAGACATCAGATGTTTCTGCAGAAGCTGAGGATGAGGAGAAGGCCATGGTCCCTTCCAACCCAAACTGTTCTATGTTGCACCCTTGCAACCCCCTTTAGCTATTCAGTTGCACCAGAAAATGATTTTTTCTTCATTTTCAAGTGAAGATTCAAGGTTTTATTTTGTAAGATGGGCTTTTTCTGATGTATTTGTCCCATTCCCCCTGTGCTTTGCTTGGCAGAGGAGCCAGAGCTGCCTGGGCTTGCAGCCTCCACCTTCTCCCTGCTCCAAAAAAAACAGCCACAGCTCCAGAGAAAGCAATGGGAGGATGGAATTTATTTTACACCATTTTAATAAAGTGACAGGAAAGGAGTTGGATGCTCTGGCCCTCGATTTCACATTTGTTTCTCTACCTTATTGGGTGCCAAAGCATCAGCAAAAGCTTAGAAAAGCCCTTTCACAGCAAAAAAAGGATTCAAAAGTGGTGGAGGGAGATCAGGCCCCCAATTTCTTCCTGCTGGAGGACTCGTGGCTGGGTTTGATCCCTGCTCTGGAGGAGAGATTTCCACCAGCTGGATCTGTGCTGCCTCCCACCACCTTCCCCACTCCAGCCCTTCCCTGAGGATTCTGTCTAAATGGGATTTAAACTCCCCCATCCTTATCTCAGCCTGGTGACAGCTGACCGAAGCCTCAGGCTTATTCTTTCTCACTCTTGAAAAAACATGTACACATATATATATCTCCTTTTCCCCAGCTGCTGCAGCAGCCCCTTTATCCTCTCCTGCTTGCACTTTCCCATTCTTCCAGGGGTTTTTGACCCGGCTTGGCCAGGGCCAGGCGTGTTTTAAACCCTGCAGTGGTGTTGAACCCCCTGAGCAGGAATAACCCTGCCAGGTATGGGCTGGATTTAGCCCAGGGCTTTGCAGGGAGAGGATTTAGCAGCCCCAGGGTCGGGGCACAGCCACTCTGAAGTTGTAGGAGAGTATTTACAGCAGACACAGAGAAGAGATTATATTCAAACAGTGGCATAGAGGCTATAAAAGGAAAAACTCTTGATTTGCCCCATGCAACACTTACCCAGCTGTAAAAAAATCCCTCTCTTTTCTTCTCTCTGCTGGTAATTAAAATCACCAGCTTCGTGTTCCAAAGCCCAGGCTCAGGAAGGCTCAGACTGCCCTGTGAGGGGTCGGGGTGACAGGGATTTTGGGATGCTCAGACCTCAGAGTGATGCTCCATGTGCTGATCCTCCCACCCTGGCAGCTTCAGCCCTTCTCCAGTCTCTCCCCACCCACAGAGTGTAGTTGAACCATGTTTCATGTGGTAAAACTGGGGTGCAGGACATGGACTGGGGGCTCAGTGTTCTTCAGCTGGACCTGCAGGTTTCTGTTACAAGGACCTGGAGGGACAGGACACAGGGAATGGCTTCCCACTGCCAGAGGGCAGGGTTAGATGGGATACTGGGAAGGAATTGTTGGCTGTGAGAGTGGGGAGGCCCTGGCACAGGGTGCCCAGAGAAGCTGTGGCTGCCCCATCCCTGGAAGTGTCCAAGGCCAGGTTGGACAGGGCTTGGAGCACCCTGGGCTGGTGGGAGGTGTCCCTGCCCATGGCAGGGGGTGGCACTGGATGGGCTTTAAGGTCCCTCCTAACCCAAACCATTCTGGAATTCCATGATTTTGGCAGCATCATTTCCAGAATGAACCTTCTCCATCCATAGGGGGAACAAAAAAGGCTTTTCCAAATGTCAGAGTCACTGCTGGAGTGAGAACTGCAGGAACAGAGCTGGGGGTCCCTCCCCAGGGCAGAGGGGCAGCTCCTGCATGAGCTGTGACCTGCTGTGTCCCAGCACTGTGACCTCACAGCCCAGGGCTGTGGGGGCATTCCATGGATTGGGGCTCCAGCCCTCCGTGGAAACACTTCCCTCCTCTGCCCCACAGCACCCCAGACCCTTCCCAGCTCATGTATGGATACAGATATGGATGCTATGGATAAGGACATGGACATGGATATACATGCTAAGGACATAGAGACAGATTTTATGGACATGATGATATGGGTATGGACATGGATATAAATGCTAAGGATATAGAGACAGATTTTATGGATCTGGCTGATATGGATATGGAAATGGACATGGATATAAATGCTAAGGATATAGATACAGACATAGATTTTATGGATATGATGATATGGACATGGACATGGATATATATGTTAAGGATATAGATACAGACATAGATTTTATGGATATGATGATATGGATATGGACATGGATATACATGCTAAGGATATAGAGACAGACAGATTTTATGGATCTGGCTGATATGGATATGGACATGGATATAAATGATAAGGATATAGAGACAGAGAGATTTTATGGATCTGGTTGATATGAATATGGACATGGATATACATGCTAAGGACATAGATACAGACAAAGATTTTATGGATATGATGATATGGACATGGACATGGATATACCTGCTAAGGATATAGAGACAGATTTTATGGATCTGGTTGATATGGATATGGACATGGATGTACATGCTAAGGATATAGAGACGGACAGATTTTATGGATATGATAATATGGATGGGATGTATGGACAGATACAAGTATAGGTACAGCTACAGCTACAGATCATGTGGGTGTAGATATGGATTATATGGATATAGATTATATGGAAATGGTTATAAATTGTATGGATAAGGATGTGAAGGACATGGGTGTAGCTACAGACGTAGATCCAGAGGATAAGAATGTGGAAGAAATGGCTATTGATGATAAGAATATAGATATTGGTATTGATCCAGTTGAAATAGTTATGGATATGGACATGGAAGTGCCTGCTAAGGGTATAGGTACAGTCATAGATTTTATGGATATGGATGATATTGGTATGGATATATAGACAGGTATAGATACAGGCATAGCTATAGATACAGATTGTATGGATATAGATACATATGCATATAGATACAGATTGGATGGATATAGATACAGATGGATATAGATACAGATTGGATGGATATAGATACAGATGGATATAGATACAGATGGATATAGATACAGATTGGATGGATATAGATACAGATGGATATAGATACAGATTGGATGGATATAGATACAGACTTTATGGATATGGACACAAATCATATGGATATGGACGTGAATGACATGGATGTAGCCACAGATGCAGACACAAATAGAGATGATATGGATAAGGAAGATATGAATATAGGTGATAAGAATGTAAATATTGATACAAATTAAATGGATATGGATATTGATACAGATGTAATTGATACAAAATGGAATGTGGATATGGATATAGATGATGTAAATGTAGGTATATGGATGATAGAGATAGATAGAGGTATAGGTAAAGATACAGATACAGATCTATAGATATAGGTATTGATAAAGATCCAGATTTACATATAGACCAGACCTGTGCAGAGATGTGGGTATGGACATAGGGATGGACCCAGACATGATGCTGCAAAAAAGAATGTTATTTTAGGCCACTCAGCCCCTGCCTGGGGACATGTGGGGAGAAAAACCTCACCCCTGAGCCCAGAGGCGACAGGAGGGGAGGGGAGGGAGGGGAGAGAGGGGAGTTAAAGCCGCCCCACTCCTGCAAAAGCCCCTGCTGGGACAAAGGGCATCTGTTACATTAATTGGTGCTGGAGATAGTGCCCAACAAACGAAAGTTATTAAAGGAAGGGAGATGGATGGAGCTCGAGGCATCCGTTTGTTTTGCCGGAGCCAAATTCATTTCCAGCAAAAGCCCTTATCAATTCCCAGGGAATAGTCGGCGCTGTCAGTGCCGAGCGGGTGTTAATGTTCTTTACGGCTCCGTTAGAGCCGGTGCAGCGACACCAATCTAAATAAGGGAGGAAGGAAGGCTTAATCAGCCTGTCACTGACCAGTTATTAACATTTTAGAACAAGGGCATTAAAGGAGAAAATTCTGAGAGGTCAATTTGTACTTCAGGAGAGAAGCCAAAAAGATAAGGAGCGGAGCAGCGCCGGCCGCCGGCCAGCGGTCACGGAGCCGGCCATGAGAGGGGATGGATCCGCTGCTGCAGGGGATCCAAAGGGATAAAGGGCCTGGGACGGGGATGGACCAGCACAGGACCCCGGACAAAGGGGCTCTGGCTGGAGTGGGGCTCCCCCCGTGCCCTTGGCAGCCCTGCCCCCCTCGCCCTCCCTCTGCTCTCACACCCAGGGGCGGCTGCGATTGCTCTGCCAGCCCTGGGGGATGAAAGCTGTGAGCTCCGATATGGTTTATCCCTTCCAACCCCTGATGATAATCCGGGATTAGTCCTCCCAGTGTATGATTACGTTTTGCCCACTCTCTTTGAAACGACACCGCTCTGGCCCTTTTCCCTGCAGCTCGTCCCACCAACCCTTAGGAACACTGCTTGCCAGGCTCTGATTACACCCTGCCTGCAGCAAAGCCCCACCAGGATCCCAAATGACTCGACATCTTTGCCCCTCATGGTCTGCACTGAACTTCATCCCAGCTCCTCACCCAGCTCAGCATCCTCAAACCCCCATCCCCTCTCGTGTCCCACGGGGACCACACGGGAATCCAGCATAAAACTCATAGATCCACCTCCCTTGAGAAAGGAGCAGCTCTGCTGCAGTGGTGCCTTCTGGCCCTCACTTCCCTGGGCAGTGGGATCTGCAGAGGAACAGCCCCCAGGCTCCCTTTGGGAGCACTGTGTTCTCTGGGAAGCAGCACTGCTGTTCCACGTTGGGGTTATTCCCTCTCTGTGCTGCTGGGCCATTAAAGGAGCTGTGTGAGAACTCTCTGCCTGTTGGCAGGAGCAGCAGAGCAGCAGGGAGGACAGCAGCCATCCCTCAAATCGTTTCTTCAGGGGGAATGAGAAGGGAGAGAAATAAAAAATTAGAAAAAAAAAAGAAAGAAAATCAAATCTGAAGCAGAGGAGTCGGGGGGGCAACTTTTGTGGTGGGTTTTTTTTAAGAGAGGAGGGGATGGAATGGAATGGAATGGAATGGAATGGAATGGAATGGAATGGAATGGAATGGAGTGGAATAAACTGGAATTCTGGGTTGGGTTGGGTTGAGTTGGGTTGGAAGGGACATCCAAAGATCATCTAGTCCACCCCCCTGCAATGAGCAGGGACATTTATTTTGCTTTGTTTTCAAGCTCACTGCTCACAGGGAACCTGACATCCAGGTGTCTGGACTCTGGAAGGCCTTGGGATGCTCTTTAGGATGCCAGTGCCTCTGGTGGCTAATGTAGGTCCTACCAAAACAACCACGGGAAGGACTCTTGCCTGGGGGTGAGATTTGAGGTGCAGCATTTCTCATTTGCATCACAGAGCTGCCTTCAGCCCCCAGTTCTGCTGCACAGCCCAGTTCCATGCCTGGTACAGACCCCCCTGGATGTGATTTGGGGGGTCCAAAGGGTGAAAAGCTGAACCCAGAGTTGGGTTATGGATGAGAAACAGCCCCCATATCCCAGCCTTTGGGATGGCAGCTTGGCCTCCTCATTTATCCCAGATTTTTTTCCTCCCAGAGGGGGCACACCAGGCTGGGACCCCCTTCAAATCCTGCCACGAGGTTTTACTGTGTTTCACAGCATTTTACCAGGATATCCCTCTTTTCCCCCTTATCCCAGATGGCCCTCCTGTAAGAACTGACTCAGCACCACTGCTAAAGGGAAAACCCTTCAGTCTGGGGGGTGCAAAGCTGTTAATGGTGATGGATTTCTGTGCTGTCTGCAGCATCCAGCCCTCCAGTCCAGGGCTTGGCAGAGCCCTGATATCCCTACACGGGGCTTGGGGATCAAATAAGGAGAGTGAATCCATAACATCTCATTGGAGGGGGAAAAAAACCAACAGTGAGCCTCCAGTGCTGGTCCTCAGCTCTCTGATGGCCCCTTTTGCAAGATTTGAATCGGTGAAAGATGGTTTTAATACCGGGTGAGCCACGGGGAGATTTGTTTGGTGCCAGTTTGTGTTAAAGTCAACGGAGCCCAAACCCCCCGAGAAATAAAGCGACGCCGAAAGTTGGGCTCCCCACGAGGGCTGGGGAGGGCAGGGGGGGAGATGGATGGCTTTTATTATTGCCAGTGTGTCAGTTATTAGTAGGATTATTAGGATTATTAGTATTTATTGGGCAAACGGAAGGCAAAGCAAATCCTTTGTGCCCGGTTGGCGGGGCTGGCTCGGGATGACAATGACGACAGATTAGAAATCAGCGCCCTTTGTTTCCCACTGGGAATCAGGGATTCACCCTCTGCCACCTTCCCAGGAATGGGATGATGTCCAGGAGGAAAACAGCCACCCCCTGACCCCAAAGGCAGCGGGGATGATGTTCCCAGGTCACCCCAGCTGCCCCCCGATGCTGAGGGGTGGAGGAGCTGGGCTTGCCTGGGCTGAGCCAACCCAAACAGCCACTCACAGTGTTGGACTTGGCTTCCCTTTCCTCATTAGAGCTGATTACACTAATTGACATGTTTGTTTACTGTTGGATATATTTTGTTGTCCTTTTTCTTCCCCAACTTTTTGATTTTTTGGAGCTCAAGCAACACGGTTGTTGCCAAAGGGTTGGAAGAGGAGGTGCTTTCCAGGGGAGATCCCAGATTTTCAGGAGCCCCTCCTGCGAAGCAGGACTGGGAGGAGCAGAGACTTTTACACCGAAGGCTTCATGTCCTTGAACATTTTTGACACGTTACTGCTTTTGCAAAGTGCCCTGAGCCTGTTCCTAAAGGATTAGCTGCC